CTACAAGAAGTTCTCTATATGATAAGGTCGAGTTTACAAATAAGAGATATGTTTACTATGTAAGAGAAAATTAATTATGTAATGGACGGTAATATCAGGGAAGAGAATATAATTACCGGACATTTACTTGCTTTTCCGAGCTTATTTATTCATTTTTATCATTTTGTATCTTTCTTTTTCTTTCTTATGTTTTCGAATATTTATTCGCGCTTATATTTATTTAGGACAAAATAACTAATTATAATAAAATAATAAATAAAGAAAATAATATGCAAAATCGAGAAACAATATAATATTTTTTTATTAAATTCGAATCTTTAAAGAACAAAAATATGAACTTGATATAAATAATTAATTTTTGCCACACACGAGGAATTAAATTAATTTAATTTTGATTCCTTGAAAAAAATCAGATAGATTAATTTTCCGCTTTTTGCGTGATTAAGAGTGCTATAAATATTCCGGAAGTAAATAATAAATTTTTCGTACATTTTCGGAAAGTGAATCTTTCTTGAAACGTCCTGTACGTATTGTTGCTCTCTTATTCGAGATGGAGGTAAAATAAGCTATTCTCGTCTTTTTCCATCGTACTGTTCTCCAGTCTCCCCTCTGTGAATGCTAAACGCTTCCCGCCACACGCAGTTGTCCGAGTGGAGAAAAAGAAGAGAACGGATATATTAGCGCGTGTGCCATTCACGTTTCTGCTTAACCTTCCGGTAATCGCGTCTGTGTATTGTGAAATTCACAAATTTTACAAGTCAAAATGAGAATATTCTTCTTCGAACAAGCGTAAACAATTCATTAATTACCAAGGTAAACAATATATTTTTACATTCTCGTATCTCGATACTCGTAATACTTATATTGAATACTTCACATAGTCTAATATTTATGTTTTTCAATATTCCATTTTTTTGAGAGGTAGCACAATAAAAAAGTGCATTTAATAGAAAACGTAATTCTTTTATTTTCAGAATATTTTTCTCTTTTTTATCGATATCTATTCAAATTCTTTTATTTTCTATGATTTTCACCAGTAAAGACGATATTGTATGTTTTCGTTATACAACATCAGAAACCCAAACCCGTTGCACCGTTCCTCTCGAATCGAGAGCAGCACAAAGAATTCGGAACGAAAGGAAGTGCTCGTATAGGTATAGGTACGAGTGAGCAGGTGATTGAAAGCCGATCGTACTTTGCAGCGCCGGAGTTGCAGTTGCATTCACCGATCTCGTTGCTCGGCTCCCTTGAGCAACAGACGACCTCGTGTTCGACGCCGAAATGCGTCAGGGAGTGCTCCTTCGATTATGAATTATCTCTTTCCGTATCTCGACAAAGTCGTTCGAAGATTTTTTTCGTGAAAATTTTTGTCATAATACAACTCGAAATTAAATATCTATCCGATATTATAATCAACAATTACTATTTTAAAGAATATTAAAATACCGAAATATTTTAGTTACGAAAATTTAGATGATTATGCACGAGTTGTACCGTCTCTTTCGCCGTAATATTATCTGAGTTCTGTGAAAGTTCAACGTGTATCTCCCACTTAAGGATCACATTCTCGAGGAGAGTACGTCTCGTCTGTCACGCTTGGATTATTTACCGAGATACCGAGATGAGGAAAGTGGCGGAAGAATTATGCGACGCGACGTTAAATGGATACAGCACCTCCAGCGAAGGCAGGGGCCCACGAGACGGCGATGTGCGCGCGCGCGCGCGAGTCTCTATCCGATACCGGATATCCGTGAGGTGACTTGCGTTGTCGTATTCGGTCGGAACATGCGGGCGCAGTCTTCTCATTGTCAGAAGGGCCGATCGAGCGCCACGAGCCGCGCGCGTCCGGAATGGGTGACGACGATTGGGCCCTTTCGCAACGAGGGATGATTTAAATCGCTGCCGTACAACGAGAGAAAATAATCGGAAAATGATTGAGCCCTCGGGCGCCGATTGCAAATATTATTTACTCGACGCCAATTTTATGCACTACTATCGAAATGTTTCGTCGCTTTATTGCCAAGGAGAATTGTATATCTTTATTTGAGATCATTGATTTGCGATTTCAAGTCATTAAAATTCGTATCATATTTTGTTCTGAATATTATACATTATTAATATATCGTACTTTTTTATAAAGATATAATATATTGTACTTTTTGTGTGTATAAAGAAATTCTAAGGTACTAGTACCTAGTCCTTCACGAGAATATACATTTTTTAAAATATTTTTTTCAAGAATTTTATACTATATTTTTTAAACGCTGCTCTTAGGTATTAAATTTCTATTTGAAGATTAAATTTAATTGGAGATTAAATCGTATTTTATCAAGTCAAGTGTCTGATACATAATTCCACATTATTTTACGCTATTTCCGAAGAAGTCACGCAACAGAATGACACACACACGTGTTATATTATGCAATATTAAAATAATACAAATTCTTCGAAGATTGTAAACGTTAAGCAGCGCAATCGTACAATGGCAAAGAAGAAGAAAAAGAAAAATATCGAAAGACGAAGATCGAGCCTCGGGCCAAGATCGCAAATCCAACGCGTTCCGCGCCTCCTTTAACGATCCTTATAAATCCTTAACAGCGGCGGGTTTATCGCCGTGATTGCCGACGGCGATCGGGTTGCGACTTTCGTAGTTGCGGGAACTGATCGGCGCATACCGATCGTTCAACGATCGTCGATCGTGAAAGGTGGAAAAGAATGGTACTTTTATGCGCGAAGTGTGCTTCCGAGAGAAACGAGCTGCTGGACAATTTTTATAAAGTCAAAGTATTCGTCATCGTCCGGGAAAAAATATCCTTCGATTTATTAATCCTCTCTAATTTATTAATTTCCAAGCAAATATGTTTTAACAATAATATTGAAATTTACTCTCTATAATAATGTGTGCAACTAAACATTTCTTATTTAAAAACTCAAATTCTTAGAATGTTTCGAATTGAAAAGAAAAATTGAAGGACATTATGGAAATTACTTAAGAAAGAACTGGACGAGAATCAGTTATGATAAAAGTTAATAAATCTAATAAATAAGCATTTTTAGCCTTTTAGAAATATAAAATTAATAATTAATTTGAGAGTTAAAATAAAAATTTGCTTTCTATAGAATAAAAATTTTTATTTCCATGAATTTTTGTGTCGTGCAGTTAAAAATTATTTTAAAAAATTTAATAAAAATGTTAGATAACATTTACGAATTATATATTTTGAAATTAAATTACATTCTACAAGACAAATATTTACTTTAATTCACACAAATTAATTATTAATTTTATATTGTAAAAGATTAAAAACAATGTCAAATTTATTAATCTCGAAATGTATTAGATTTATTAATTTTTGCCGTAACTGATTTATCCAGTTCTTCCTTAAAGCCTTCTCAATTTTATACGCTTTGCGATCGAATGATTTTTATGCGGATTCGTCATTTTCCGTTATTATTATCGGGAGAATAAATACCGGTGAGAAAAACACTTGTCTCGGGTGTGAAGTTTCACAGGGTCAAATGTCACGGAACGTTCGCTCGAGGTATTAGTCCTCGGAAGACACGATCTAGGAGGTCCGAGGTAATATCTTCCCTCCGATCGAAAACCGGGACACGACTTGGCGTTTCTTCGTGCCAAGTCGAGCGCAACGAAAGAAATCTCTATATACAGTTACCCGTGACATCAACAAGGCAACATCTCTCTATAGCCCCGACGAGAGAACGGAATGTTCTGTCAATTTGTGGCGCGAATGTTCGTTAACGAGAAATTCATCTCAAGTATAAGGAGCACATCTCAATTTCACGAAAACTAATCAAATCTTTATATCATATCCTATCAAATAATAAAAAAATTTTTATTCACAAATAATTTTTCTCGACGTTATCACTTTATTTATAATTCGCTACATTAATATATGAATTAATATTTTATTGAATAAAATTTCTCTGCCATCCAAAATAATTGTGTATTTGGTACTTGAAGAATTATTAGAATCGTACGTAGTAATTTTGCATGTGATACGTAAAATAAAAAAAATAAAATAATTTATAAAAAGTAGTTTTTTTTCGAGAAAATTAGTAAATTCTCACAATGAATGTCTATAAAATATGAGATTTTTATTTGTTTCCCAGCTTTATCGTTTATCTCATCACATGGAAACCACATGATTTCCCGCAGAATTTTATATAACAATATTAATGCAGGGAACTTCCAACATATATAGAGTATTGATAAAACATGGACAGGTTTAGAATTTAACGTACGATAGATTAAGGGATATGGAAGAGAAGTAAAAACGCTCCGAAATTTTGCCTTCAGTCGTTCTCGTTCACGCCGTCATATATAAGTTAGCAACGGGTGTTCGAATTAACGTTCGGGCCATGGGTAAATATAGAGGGGCCACCCAGCGTGCAACTAATGTAGCGCGTGGTGGGAAAGAGATTCCGCTCGAGTCGTTTCCCTCTTTTTGCCAGCGCAACGCGTATCCTCCTTTTTTCCTCTTTTCCCTCCCCCTCCTCCTCCATGCAGACGATTTACTCACTCTATCTTTCTTGCTTCTGCTCGCTCGCTCGCTTGCTTTTCCACGCCGCGCGCCGTGAAAATTTACGATCGCGCTTCTGGCGAGTGAAGAGACAAAATCAAGCTTCCCCCGTTCGGGGATAATCGATCCGATGCTCTTCCACGATTCGTTTCTTTCCGTTGTTTCACATTTTCTTGATGCATTTCAGTCAAGTGTCATACAATGTGTGACCGTCAATTCACTTATTTATAGAGAGATTAGTAAAATTATAAATAAAATGTGTAAATTTTATTACAAAAGAAAATTTTCTCATTTCTTATATATTTTTTATTCCTGTGATCTTCATCTCTCTACACATTTCACACATCTTTACGACAGAAAGTAACACGCGGAGCTTCTACTGTATCACTTTGATCGTTAAAGATGAGCGAAACGATGCGCTCTTGAAGAATAAAATACGCAAGTGCAATGATCACTTACCTTGCACCCACAACTGATCCACCTTACTATTGACTTGCACGGACTTGAGGGCGACACAGAATGTGGCCAAAGCGAGGATGGCCACGAAGAGCACTTTTCCGGCATGCCTCTGCAGGAAGTAACCCAGTTGACTTAGCTGATCTTGTAGTCGCGCCCTGATCCACACCACTGACCTCTGACCCTCCGCCTTCCCCTGAAATGAAAAAAAGATTGAAAATTTGTAAATGTTGCATATAGAAAAATTGTAATGTACTCTTGTGTATTCTTATATAAAAATCATTATGTTCTCTCGGATATATCGATTAAATACTTGTCCAATTCGAGCGATGATAAGCAAGAAATTCATGATATTTCTCTTCTAACGTCGATATAATTTCAGCCAGCAAAATCAGGAGCTTTAAATTTATATTTAAAAAACTGCAAATATCCATTATATCTCTTTCAAAATAAGCTTTATAAAGTCGTCTGATTTTAGTAAGACTTTTGTATCCCAGGATAATTCCGACAGCGATACGCAAAATAAGAACAGATACAGTCGGTTTCCGAGAAAAATCAGTGAATGCAGACTCGTCACCAACGCAAGAGTGAGGACAAAACTGCATCGAGGATATTGAATTCGTAATGTTTATTTGTAGAATGACAAGTGGCGAAAAAATAGAAAGGAGAAAAATAGAAAAGAAACATAATAGAAAAAAAAGAGAAACCAAAGGAGAGAGAACGGTGATTGAGGATAATGGTTCGAGCTTTTAGAGTCAGGCTTAAAGTCAAAAGAGAGAGAAAGAAAAGAATAGAGAAAGAGAGAGAGAGAGAGAAATAACCAATATGAAGAGAGAAATGATCATACAACAAGCCGGAACCTTACAAAGGGATGAGGAGGGAGGAAGGGAAAGCCACGCTTGCAACATTGCGAGCGGCAATGCTGCCACACTACCTGGTGGCCGCTCTGACAATATGTACCATGGACCACCCGCAACAATGCCTATCTTTCAAGCTGGAAAGAGAGAGAAGATGTCTAATCCAGAAAGAAGAGGAAAGAGAGAAATCGATTGTGTATACGCAAAGTTTCGTTAGTTCTTCCTTCTCTCTCGTTCGGTAAATAAATAGACAAACACTATCCGATCTGTGATCAATAATTTTGAAACATAATTCATTATATCTCACACAGCAAATACATAATTAATCGTATATACATTATAATTATTTTGTCTGATTTATGTCTTTATTTTTACAAATAAAATTATAATATTTAAATTATATTTAAATATTATATTTAAATATATTATATTTAAAAAAATCTATGCAATATTCTTCGTCGATCGAACTATAAAAAATCGCTTATTTACTCGTCACGTCCGTTTAACGCCGCCTTTTACACACCGCGAGATACAGTTATCTCTCGAGAGAGCGATATACGCGCGCGCTTGCACGGCTGACAGATGAAAATATGGATTACGCGGGGCCACGTATCTCGGGGCAGTAGCTACGTCGAGTATCAGATAGCAAGGTTTTCCAGCCAATTAACTCTCGTGGCGCGGACCTGCGGCTGCACGGACCTCGGGCCCCGAAGCCCGGGGGTAATTCTAGACGCGCGGACAATCCACGTCCGCCACATGGTGCGCCGCGAAGGGGCCCACCGCGCTACGCGCGCTCCGACGTTCTGTTTCCGCGTGACTTTTGCCCTCTAAGCTTTCCTCGGAAATTTATATAGTATATAATGTAACGCTTTATTCGTTATACGAGACCGATGCATCTCATGTGTATTCCAAGCTGCGCTGTTTTGGAGTTATGTTACTGAAACACGCAGCATGTTTTTTAATAATTAATATAGTAAGATCTGTTAAAAATATAACATGTAATATTCTTTATATGTATATATGATATTATATGGTATATGTGAAATATAAATTGTACAAAAAATATATGATACTTAAAGTAAAACGAGGATCGATATCTATGATAAAAGAAAAATTAAAACTTGTTATTTCTTGAAAAATAACATTATTACTTTTGAATGCAGTTTCCAAGAAGTTGTAAATAATAGTTTCTTTAAAAATCATTTGGAAGAAAGAATTTAATCACGAATATTAGCAAAAAAAATGAAAGATAATATCTATATATATAAAATTGTAATATAAAGTTTAACAAATTATTTTTATGCATTCAAGAATTAAATAAGATGAAGAAAAATATCTGATAACTTATTATTATTCTGTAATTAATATTAGAGAAATTAGTAATAGAAAAGCAGCAATTTAGAATTTTATTTCAAGACTTAGCTATATAAATACATAAATATACATAAACAATCGCATTGTCAAAAGGCGAAATCGATTCTGAAAATCATTCATTCGCAAATCTGCCGAATTCCATTTGAAAGGTTCACTCGCGAATCTGAAGGTCGCGCATTGTGAGACACCCTGTATACTACCGAGAGAGCGCACACCGGTATTTTCACCGACCGTTTCGAGAAAGAAACCGAAAGGACGAAGAAGAAGAAGAAGAAGTAAAAGGAAGTCGAGACGCCACGAGTCGCTCTCGAGACGTCTATATAACGTCCACATACACACGCACACGCGGCAGCACACGAGAGAGGGAAACGAGGTAGGAGGAAGAGGGGGACAAAGACGGTTCCCCCCTTTTTCCCGTAAGTGGTCTCTCGCACCGCGGGCCTTATGGGGTTTCTGCCGGCGGTTGGGCAGTATCTACATATTACAAGCTCGCGGCGCGGAGACCACCGTCGTTGACATAAGATCCTGTTATGCTGTCTGCTATCTCTCGGCGCAGCTCGTGTCGCGCCATAAAAAACATTAAAAGTACAAGTAACATAAATTCGTTAAGCGCGGCGGCGGCGATCGCCTCGCTTCTCTCGCGACTCGTCTCTCTCGCAAGTGTTTCCTCCTCGAAAGAGAGACGAGGCTGATGAGATCGACCACTCGAGCCCCCATCCTCCTCTCTTTGTCGGGCGTCCCCACTTTCGTTGCGATTCCTTTACACTTTATCATCCGCCAATTGTACTAATGTAATACAAACATATGTAACAATGATAGTAATACTTTGTAAAATCCCTTCAATTGCTAATATTTTTTTTCATTTCTCGATGAAAATATCAATTTTTATTTTAATTGAAAGAGAAGAGAATTATTTGACATGTCAAATGAAAATTAACACGTTTTACGAAACGTCGCGGACTCGAGCAATTTTTTTTTAGTCGCATTGTGAGTTCCAGGATACTAGGTATGCGCGTGCACGTAATTCACGCGGTACGCTACGCACGCGGCTCGGCCGGATAAACGAAGAGGTTCTTGTGGTAGGTACGGTTCGAAAGTGTCGTAGCAAGAAACTTGATCCGGCCCTCTAATCGACCGAGGAATTCCACGTCTATCCGAAAGGGAAACCCAAAGATTGGACTTGATAACGAGCTTTCAAGACTGTTGACAATCGCGAATATTCCCTCCCCGCTTATAATTCGATCCTCGTTTGTGACTCCTATGATTATACATTATTTTTAAAATCGTCATGTAATTAGTCTTCGCTCTTCTCTCCGCAAAGCTGTAAAGTTTATAAATTATTAAGAAAAGTTCCTAGTAAGTAATTGTAAATGTAAACTTCCGAAAAAAATTCTGAAAAGAAACTTGAAAAAAGTCCCACCTGGAGAACCAGTCCCGCAATTTGTGGGATGAAGTTGTAAACTTTCTAAAGAAGTGGTCAGTGCCTCGGAATACGGAACGAAAATCGTGATTTTTGAACGATTGTAACACAAAATTGACAGCATCGACAACTCTATTTAATATTTCGGGATTCCACAAATATATATATATATATATATATATATATATACACGTGTGCACAACGGGAGCCGTAGATACAGAGGACAAGCGCGACGGACGAAAGATGAAAGCGTCCGACAATGTCGGGTCGTGTGGGCGTACATCCTTCAGCAAGGATGAAAGGGACGGGCCGACTCTTATAGGCGCATCGGTGCCCGGCGCACTCCTCGTCGATTGTCCTTTGCGGATCGGCAAAACCGAAATTTGAGGAAAAGCGTGACGGTCGGTATCTTTAGGATTTTTCACGCGTCAAGAATGCATGAAAGCTTCCCGTCGTTTTATAAAAATTGAAACCGCGGGAAAGCTCATAAAATTGATTACTTCACATTTGCACTGACTCTGACCTCGGATAATAAAACGTTACAACTCATTTTCTTCGCTTTTCCTCACCTTTTCCTTCCGAAAAATAAAATAAGAAAAGTTTCACTCGAGACTCGATGACAGAATCCTAAACCATTCTATTGCACAAGACAAAAAAATGTATCTATAAATACGTGAATAAAATGGAGAAATTTTTAGTTCCTCGTTTATAAATAAGTTTCGCATATACACGTGTGTGTATGTTTTTACGTAAAAGAAGAAAGACCGCATTCTCCCCGATGCAAGGCGAACAGATGAACTTCTAGGAAAAATAGAATTAAACTCTGTTCTCATCTTCCTTTTCTGAGGAAAGAGAGACTTCGCTTGTCCCAGTTTCATGTGACTCATACTGTATACAGAGTATCTTAGAAATACCGCGTGTCTCCTCATCGTTATACAAATTCTACGATAAACTTTGAATTCATCTTCTTTGAAACGAAAACTTCAAAAGAAACTAGTCACCCGTTCGTAATTTTCGAACCGAAAAAAGAAATAGAAAAATTTTGCATTTTATTATATATACATTATCTATATTTTATTACACTCAGATATAAGTTACTCTCATAAAATATCTCATATTCAGATAAAATATTTTAATTTCTATTAGCATATTATCAAGAAATCTAAAAAAAATTAATTTTGATTTACCCTCTCAAAAACTGGTATTTAAAAAATTTTTTAAATTTAATTAAAATTTAAAGAAATTATATTTATATACATTGAATTTTTTAATTTCCCTTTTTAATTTCCTCTTTAATTTCCCTTTGACGATGATGGCGCGGAGACATTCGGTGATTCTGGGACACCTTGTACGTGGACAAGTTTCCACGGGTCGCCTTCAAGGCGGTGCTCGCGCCGCGCGTCTCCACCCTCTCGTAGGTATTATTAGTGTTGGAAGTTTCTCTCTCGTACACGTAGTGTCGGCGCCCTTTAATCTCACACACGTACGCTCGCGAGTGCGAGCGCGAGTGCGTGAATGCCCGGTATTGTGGGCCGCACCGACGAT